GTGCCCCTCCTGGACACTCCAGTTCTTCTTCACTCATGTAAATGGCCTGTACTTGTATAGCACTTTACTTAGTCCCTAAGGACCCCAAAGCACTTTACACTAAATTCCGCCATGGAGCCCTTGGAGAGGGGAAGCTACATTGTAGCCACAGCTGCTAGCCACCACCAGTAGGCAACGGGTGGAGTGTCTTGCCCAAGGACACAACAACTGAGACTGTCTGAGCCGGGGCTCGAACCAGCAACCTTCCGATTACAAGAAGAACTGCCAACTCTTGAGCCACAATCGCCCCGTGTCGATAACATTAGCAGGAATGGGTGCCTGATCTGAACCTGAGTGGTATTGTGTTATTGTTACAGTTTGTCCATAATGAACACCATGTTTGAACTTAAGGATTTTCAAAAGTGCATGTGGCACCAGGACTCCCTGATTGAGTTTGGAATCCCATCATTAGATGAGCTCTCACTGAGCACCACATGATAGTGAGGTAGAGTGGTGTGGGAGGATGCTGGAAAGGCCCTCCCAAATGTATAGTAAGCGTTCAATCATATGATAAGGGAGTGTCTGACAGAGACCCCTGACCACAAAATCTTCAATTTCCAAGTCTTGCAGAACTTCAAAGACATTATGAGGGAGGCTAGGAACATCAAGTCTAAATTAAACATGTTTCACACCTCCATTGTTGAGGCAGCTACATGGATCTGTGGCTGCCACTACCTGTACCTGTCATAGAAGAAATACTTTGACATATTCAAATTTTGTAGACTTGGAGAAGGCATTTCACTCCATTTAACTGCGCTACTATGGGAGGTACTATGGGAGAGTATGTGCTGTAGTTTGTTGGTATCAGCCATTAACTGTATTAAGCTCTTGGTCTGAATTGCTGGCAGTCAGCCATAATTATTCCCAGTGACTCCATCAGGACTCTGCTTTGTCACCAATTCTGTTCTTACATTTTAAGGACAGAATTTCTAGACATAGCCAAGTGGCGAAAGCATTCCACTTTGGTGGCCTCAGGATCTCGTCTCACGTTTTTGTGGATGATGTGGTTCTGTTGGCTTCACCAGGCGTGGCCTCCAGCTCACACTGGAGCAGTTCTCAGTAGGGATGGGTATCGAAACCCGGTTCTTGTTGAGAACCGGTTCCCACTGTTTCAATTCCTTGGAATTGTTTGCCATTTTTGCAAACGATTCCCTTATCGATTCCAGTCGCCCCGAATGACGTCACCACGTTGCGGAGCGTCATTTATCTGGCAGGAAACATGGCGGCTCAAACGCTCAAAAGTTTGGTTATACTTTACGAGAACGGATGACAACAGGGCAACTTGCAAAGTAGATATTTAATTTAAGGGAGGAAACACTACAAATATGCAAAAAACACACGATGACCTTAAATGAATGTCGTGTTTTTAATTCCGCTCCGGACTCGTGAATCTCAACCCAACAGCAGCGGTAACGTTTGCACGTCCTCTCCCGTTAATGCAGCAGGTAAATAATCAACAACAGTGCATATTATGTTCGCGCGATCTGCCTTATCACAAAACCTGCCATTACTGTGCATTTAGGTGACCATGATGAGAGAGACAGACAGAGTTTGGCTCAGATACTGGCAGTTCTCACTGTAGTCTACCAGTGGCGTCTCCTTTCAGGCCAGGATAGACGAATGTCACCGAGCAGTGACTAAGTTTGTGGTCAAAGCCTTGCACACATTTGCCACAGCAGATGCCCCCAATTTTCGGCAAGTGAATGTGTTTAATTGTAGGCAGGGACATTACTGGATATTCTTGTGTAATTGCTACAGAATAATTTATATTATACTTTGTTATTGCTACAGAAGAATATTTATTTTATTATTTTACATTTAGAATTTTTTTTCCTGGGGACCCTGTGACACCCCATTGAAGAGCTGTAGGCTGGATCTCTTAAGATCTCACTGCTGGGTTTGTAAGGCCATGCTACTCCTAAATTTCTATCTTGTTCGAAGAGAAGATATAAAACAAAGTTCTAAGCTATTCGACCTTCGTGTTCTCCTTTTTAAAAAAAAAAGAATCGATAAGAAAATCGATAAAGAATCGAATCGTTAAACAGAATCAAGAATGGAATCGGAATCGTGAAAATCTTATCAATACCCATCACTAGTTCTCAGCCAAGTCTGACGAGGCAGGAATGAGAATTAATATCTCTAAATCTGAAACCATGGTGCACAGCTGAAAAAGGGTGGAATACCCATGCTGAGTCAGGGATGATTTGCTCCCCCAAGTGTAGGAGTTTAAGTATTTTAGGATTTTAAACACAAGTAGGGGGACAGGCGAACAGGAGATTAGCAGATAGACTGGATAACATTACTGTTCCTGCAGTAATGTGAACATTGTACCAGTCTGCCGTGGTGAAGAAAGAAGTAAGTGTTGTTGTGTATTCAGTTTAATTCCCATTTAGCCTTTTGTGTGAATGTGTGTGTGAATGGGTGGATGACTGGATATGTAAAGCGCTTTGGGGTCCTTAGGGACTAGTAAAGCGCTATATAAATACAGGCCATTTGCCATTTGCCATTTGATTCATTTTTTCAGACTTTTGGGCTTTTTTAAAATCTACTTTGTGCTTTCAGTCTCATTTGGGTCCTCCACCTCAACTCTTCTGGGCCTGAACTCCAATATAATACAAAAAAAAAAACCAACAACAGACCACAAAGCCTGAAATGCTTACAAAATCTCTCAAATATGCTCTCGCATATTATTTACAGCCAAATTTCACAAAAAATGTAGCTGTTTCCCTGATTGTTGTAGTTATCATTTAAACACAGTAGGTTATACTCAGTGGGTACATTTATTCAAATGGGCCAGAAAACAACATGCTAAAATGACTAATATTTCACTCAGTCAACTGAAGCCATTGTTAATTTTGTAATGTTAAAAATGTTGTTATTGTGTTTGCTAGCCTATTCTGGCATTAATTAACACAAAACTCCTAATTTACTGTTCCACTAACATGTTTTAATTTGATTTACATGTGATGTTAACATATAGTCTTGTTTTACTTATTAAAACTGCATCTAAATATTCTGTAATGCTATATCTCAGTGGAATAACTACTGTATGGCACTAACCTCCATGAACTACCGAAAGGGTCCATGATCTACTATTGCAATAAAGAAATGGTCCACTGGAGTGAATGGAGATGACTTGACACTTAATACAATATTTTCTTAAGACAATGTTTTCTATAAAACATTTGTCTAAAAACAGACACTTTTTTAAATTTAACTAACTTAAATCCTATTTTAGGATAAATCTATTTTAAATTTGCTATTAGGGATATACAGTTTTATTACTAAAAAATGTGATGAATCACTTACAGCAATCAAAAATAAAACTGAATGTTTTCGGCAAGTGTTCGCTTCTTTATTCAATTTCTTTTTATTTTATTTTATTTTTTTTGCCAAAGGTATAAAGTGTTTCTTCAGATGGCCAAAAGAGCCACTGGTTCAAGACACCAGACCATAGTCTTCCATAAAAGCCCATTAAGTAGCTTTTTAGGCCCAATGAAAAAAAAATATGAAAACGAAATGTAAGTTTTTCAGCCTATTTGGTAAAAAATCTATGTGCCCCCTACTCAGTCTCAAGCGGGCTTAGTTGCTCTTTGGAACCACTACTATGAATTTCTGGGACTATATGTAACAATATCAAACTTGTGTCCTTGTAAATAAACCAGTAGTTTGTGACTATGAGACTATTTTGGGTCAATAGGTATACTTGTTTGCCTTCACAGAAATAGCAAACAAGTATACCTTCACAGAAATAGTGCAGGCTCCCCCTGGAGCCTGCACTATAGGGTTCAACTTTACAAAGATATCCATCTGTTATCTTGTGTCACTTACCCTAACATGGTAATCCTGATAAGTGGTAACATGAAAATTGTCTAATGAGCTTGGAAAGAAAAGCGTCTGGACTTCTTTGACCAATTTGAAAATATTTATATTTATATTATTCCTTCCTATTCTTCTGTTTGAAAAAAAATAGTGTGTTGTTAAACACTATACAGGCTGAAAGGAAGACAGCTGACATAGTGAAATAAGTGAATTTGTGGTAGGAAAAGCATTGTGCAGCAGTAGTATTTACAAGCAATCTAGGAATGTAAATCTTTAAATCATGGCTTTGGCTAGTAAAAGTGTAAAAGTACTATATAAATGTAAGTTGTTTAATGTGTGTTAAAGAGTTTCAGCCTGAAAGCACCAGGATATGTCCTTCAATGCACATATTAAACATGTATGTAGGGATGCTTTCTTCCATTTGAACAATGTCTCTAGAATTAGAAGCATCCTGTCTCAGAGTGACGCAAAACAAACTAGTTTTTGGTTCTGCTGGAGGTTCTTCCCGTTAAAAGCAAGTTTATCCTTACTACTGTCACCAAAGTGCTTGCTAATAGGGGGGGCCATATGATTGTTGGGGTTCTCTGTTTTCTCTG